TGAGCACAAAAGAAAGGTTTAATTGTTTTCAAGGCATTTTAATTTTTCGTAGTTCTTCTTTTGTGAATCAAGTCTCCGTTTATTTCTGACTAAAAGCAAAACATCTGCCGTTTCACTTGCAAATTCGAATTATTATTAAATCCATTTTGATGCTAGTGTAAATAAAGTACATTACTGAAGTGACATTATGAACCGGCGAAGGCACTTTATAATATTGATTGATGATTCTATTTGCGCTAATTTTATATTATTTTTTGGTTGAATCTCGTCATATTCCGTAAAATTTAGGCCGCGTGTTTTGAGTGTTGGCTAATAAAAGGTTCCCTTGAAATATTGTATCTTGTTCATTACATTATACCGTAGTGAAACAATTGAGTTACTTTTACGGCCTTATTTTTAAACAAATATTTATAATATATGTATGCCAGCAATAAAAGTTAATTAACTTGAATTTTTTTATAACTTAATTAAAGGTAACATCTTTAAAATTCGAAGCAATGTAGGGTGAGGTTTAAGCATCTCTTTTCAGTTAACTGTTTGTGAAGTTTGGATTTTCGAAGCAAATTCGAAACATTTATAAAACGCACACACACATACACACCTTTCTCAGCAGTTTGTTTTAACGTGTTTGAACAATCCTTTTCATAAAAGCATGTTCTTTTAGTAAATTAGGATGAAGCGAGTATTATCCTTAAATAAAAATTCAACCACTTATATCAGTGACAGCATAACTCATCTGTTGATATCATAAACCGAATATTGGGGGCGCTCTTAATTGCTATTAAAAGCTCGAAATAATCCTCTGCATCAACGTGCATAACCCGGAAAGGGAGGAGTTGGGAGAGTAATTGTCGGATTTTGGCTAACGACGTTCGCACTAGCAATTCTTTAATTGTGGAAACCCACGCCTAAATGGCTCTCGTAGAATGGACTAATAGAAAAGTGTGAACTCTGAAGTAGTCCACACTTCACCTCCGCATATTTTCTAAACATGTTCTCTAGAGGTGGACCCTTGCTTTTCCGCTTAAGCTTGGTATGTTTATTACAACTAAAACTATGCTCACTGTAATATTTCACGCTTGTGCTGTTTTTCTGTAGGCTTATATTCACTTTATACATTTTTTAAACTTTGGCTAAAATGCATTAGCTTTCCCGGAAAAGTTATTCCAAATAAATGCAAAAATGCGCTTATTAAAAATCATGTTCATTGTCAATTAAACGAATAAATTTTGCATTTTATACATGACAGACCAGTCGGAATATAAATCTAGTAATGTTCCAAACCCATTTTCTAAAGACAAAATTCTTAGCGAGACGTTTGTTGTGTTCATTATGTATAACAAAGGCTCACTATCTTAACAAGTACTCTTGTGACAAATGCTTCCGACTCGTAAACTCGTGTTTATTATATTATATCTAGTTTAGCATCACTAAAATATTTCGATTAAGTCATTTAATAGATTTCTAAACCAAACTCAAATTAATTATTTTATTACAACTAAATTAACATGTTAAAAAGGATTATTTGTTCATAAACGTTTACAACAAATGAATTATTGTGCTCACGTAATATAATTTATCGATTTTGCGTCTTAAAGTTTTAATAAAGTTAGCTAAAACTCACGTTGAATTACTAGCTTTAAAAGGAGTAATAATTACTAATGCAAACATAATGAATGGCAATAGGATAATTAAATGAAGTTATTAAAATTTTAGTTAATCAGCAAGGAGCGGTTCTGGAATAATACAATACTGGTAACAAATGGTGCTCATTCTGAGTTATTATTTAGGCGTTTAAATAAGCTACACAATCGATTCGCTTCCTCAGTTTCAATTTACTTAATTTATTATGATTGTGAACAACAGGTTGCTACCTCCTTTTTGGCCAAAAGCCACTATTCTATCGCTCCAGCCGTCAGCATTTCTACTTTGTATTCTAGTATTTTCACATATACTGCAGCTTATTGATACATATTTTTATATGTAAGCAATCGTCAGCAAAACTCTAAACAGCTTAGAATGCAATTTTTTTATCGATGAGTTAGGCACGAAGAGATGTTTGCCCCTATGCCACGTTTTTTTTTAATCATAACGTTTCTAAATAACATAGGACTGTGTTTAAGGGTAAAAAGGGGACACAAAACATTCTCCATATTACAAAGTAAGAACAAAGTTTCCACAAGACGTGAATAAGTTAAACAGCACACAAGAGAGGTTTATTGCTACGATTTCCCCAAAAATGTAAATTTTGTTATGAACTTTTTAACATAAAACATTTTTTTATTAAAATCAATGTGAAGTAAATAACAAAATTAATCCTTTCGTTTCTTTTGTATGTGAAGTATCAAAGAGTTGGAGTATTTGTCGCCAATTGTTGACGACACAAATAAAAGTGTTTGATCTGGTGTGAATAAAACAAAATGAAAAACCGATGAAGCTATTTTTTCCCGGTGCAAAGGACTTTACCTGAACCAATATTTAAAGCTTGACTCAATCCTTTTTATAGTGTCGATTTTATCGGGCTTATAGTGTTTGTTTCAGTTCAAGCAAATGAGCTTTTTTCTGATTCTGGTGCTTCGGAATATTTCATACGTTACATTCGAGTGCGCGTAGTCCTACTTTGGGTGTATTTTTGTGGTAAAAACGAATTTCAAGGCACTTTCCAAGGGCAAATCTAAATTACACTTACGCTTTAGTGGTTATAGAACTTCATTTGCTCTGTGCCCTTGGGCTCTGGTTGAGATCGATAAATTCTCACCAAAATGTTACATCTCAAAACCTGACAAAAGTCATAAATTTTGCTTAAAAAAAAGCCAATCTACATGACGAGGTCTTTAACCAACCGCAATGCGACAATGGGTGGTCTTCCTGCTGGTATTGCGAAGGTTGCTGGTTTTTCCGTGAAAAAATTTAGATTTTTTAACGAAGCGCGAAGTTATCTGTTATATTTTTACCAGAGGCGGTACACGATAAAAAATTTAAATGCGTCATTTATGTTTTTACGCTACTCTTGAATTATGTAACAACTGTAAAAAAAGTTTGTACAGGGTGCTAGACGAGGATTTATGACTGGTGTTTATTTACCTTTATTTAAAATTTTTCAACCACTGTTAATGCATGGCACTGTGTAAAATATGCACTACATTTGTCAAAATTATAAGGAGTGACGAAAATAGCAAGATAACACAAGCGGATAAATACCTAACAAAAATATTGCATTTTCATTGGTTATTCATACGCGTTGTACCGCAAGAGATAAATATGGGGAAAGCTGTCTGTGTGTTGTGCTTTGCGTTTGGTTTAAACCATCTGTAAACGTATAGAATGTACTATTGAACTATGTAACTTTGTTACTATTGACTTACAGGATATTGCGGACAGTGTAAATAACGTTTTATGATATTGTATTAAAAAACGAATGATATATTGGATATTTAGTCCAGCAATATGAATAATGAGAGGATCAAGTTTAGGTGTGATCCCAATAAGGGCTGTTTCCATTCGAGTCGAATTCTGTTCATAAATCCGCTTAAATGTAGGTCTGGTTATAAACGCGGATTCCACTATTTAGATAACAGCCACAGAATTGTGGTTTTTACAGTGATATAGAACAGAATACCAAAATCCTGATCTCTTGCCGATGAAATTACAATTATTGTTTAATAAAAAGCAGTCGAAAGACACCAGAGTTAGATTAGTAAAACAAATGTGTATGTGTTTCATAATTTGCTTTTTTGATTTCTTATTTTCTTTGACCCACAAGTGCAAACCTAATTTAATACCGATGAACCTGCCAAGGGAGATTAATTTATTGTGCCGGGCTCAAATCTGGCTTATTTCAGACCCTATAAACTTACTAAGTTTGGTAGTTTCTTGCAGATTGTTACCACAGTTGTAGTGACATTTCACAATTGTTTTGTAATTATTTCGTTAAGTATGGAGGAAAAATTAAAAAAATAACAAGAATATCCGATTAATAAAACACGACTGAAACTCAATAATGCTGCGCTTTTAAATGGTTTGAAAAAAAACACTCGTTCAGTTTCAGCCCCAGTCTGAACAATCATAAAAAAACTTCGTTCACTTTTAATGAAAGCAACAATTGGTGAACTATTTTAACCGAAAAACCATTTACAAGTCCTTTTTGCATTTATTTTGGATGAATCATTTAGTTGCTCCATTTGAATCGTGTAAACACCGAAAGTTTAACTCGTATTTGGGATCGTTATTGTAACAAAAAATACAGCACAGAATTTTTGTTGATTTCGATAAAGCTAATTAATTTCGTTCACTTTTTCCATAAATGAAAGCTTTATTAATTTATTCATATTTACTTTGTGTTTAATTAAAGTTTGAGCTACCAATAGTTAGTTTTTCTTTTTACTTCAATGGATTTTTCTTGTTTGGCTCGTCCGGTGAGATCTGTCATGCTGCGGCAGTATTGAATTTTTTGTAGTGCGATACTCTCACATTTGGAAAGACCCTTGTTGAGGAAGGGTGTCAGGGATCTGATCTTAGTTATCCTGTCCTATTCTAGTCACATATCCTTGACTGCGGCACTGACTCTAAGGACTCATCGTTGGATAAATTCTCGTTGAGGAGCATCCATATTAACTGATTTCATTAAGATACTGATCTGCTGATTTGGTTGTGCGTGTTTTAGATGATAAAAGAGATCAAAACGCAAGAGTAATGCGATTCATTTTGTGGGCTGCTTATTGGACAATCTTTATTTTATATTCTTCATCAAGCGAAATTTATAATTCTGTTTCGGCAATTTTCAAATAAATCATTTTGCACCCAGCGATAAAATTTTAATTAAATTTCGCCCTAACACCGTTTTAAAAACCGCGTTACAGGTAATGACACCAAATTTAATTATAGTTTTGTACTAAATAAACTTGTACTAATTATTTTTTTAATTAAATTACTAATTTTATGACGCTGTTAGGAAACTTGTGTTCATATTTATATTTCTGCAGGGCAAGGGATGAACGACGATGTATAGCGTGGTGGCGCACCAAAATTACAGAAAACGTGATCGTTCACCTCGACCACAAAACGAAGGTTCGCCAACAGGTGGCCACACTGAGTCTCACAGGAAACTTTCTTTCTACCAACGTATCTATAGATACGTAAAGCAACAGTTTCAACAAGAAAAAGGTAAGCTCAGACAAACCTGTGTTGTACTTTTCCGCAACTGTAAAATAACTAAAGCTTCCGCTACCAACAAAAAGAGGGCGCGCTTTTTGTCAAAGTTTTAATCGATTTACAATTTAATTTGTGTACTATTATTATTTTTACTTGTCATTTTGTTTATTCACAAAATATTCCAATAAATAGAATACTTTCTTATTCTACTAATTCGGAACAACTTATCGTTAATTTTAATTTGAGCAAAAGTTATTTACATTTACGGAAGCTTTTATTGGAATACCAAGATTGCGTTAACCCTTAATGTGATAATCGATATCTAGTCAGAGGTAATTAATGGTTTTGATATTTGTTTCACTATAGACTTATCGCTTTGTGCTATGTTACAAGATCAGTGCATTAGACAGGTCATTATCTTGATTATGAGGAACAATAATTAGTACTTAGGCTTTATCTCTATGTCGTATTCTGGAATTACGAAACATGAGAAAATTTACAATTTTGAATAATTATGACTGTTCAAAATCCAGAGAAATGTAAAAGACAGATAATCAATAATGTTTATTTTTAATAACAACCGTTGATTCTGTTTAGTGCAGCTGTGTCTTTTGTTAGCTTGGATGCAAATGTTGCAAATAAATTGAAAATTTAATTACATTTTAAATTTGTCAAGATAAGTGTCATCCGATTGCAGTACACCAACAATTTTCTTTTAGATTGGTGGTTAAAATATTTTTAATTTTACAACAACTGTTTCTATTTAATAATAATAGTTTTTGGATAAATTTTTTATGTAGTATCTTAAAGTTGTTAAATTAATATTTTTTAAAGCGTTAAAGTGAGTATTTTAATGAAACGGTGACCGATAAATCTACCACACTGCGTTAATTTTTCTAAATTTATTACTTTTAAAAACTTTTGCAAAAACCTCTACACTAATTTGTAAAAGATTGCTATTGATGTAAACGATTTTTTGCAATTATACAATGTTGGAGTAATTTGACCACGAAGGACATTGTATTAATTGGGGAAAAAGTTGTGAAAGACTATAAAAAGCGACTAAACTAAAGTCAGACTGATAAGTGGCGTAAGGGTCACAAATCTGTTTCTCATCGAATAAATTTTTCACTAAGTAAACTGGAGTTACCACGTGCTATAATCGATCGTATGTGAAATAAAAAGTATAGAATCATTCACTGGGATTAGAAGTCTAGGTGTTTCGCGGAAATCGGTTGGCGGTATATTTATATGAAACGAACCTATCAGATGTTCGTCTCTATTTATAAAACACAATAACATGTTTTACATTTGAGTTTAGATGGAGATTACATTGTATTCGTTTGTATTGAATTTACAATAATGTTTCGATATATTTAGTTTCTGCCAGATGAGTTATCTACACGGACAAGCGGCATTTTCCCTGAAAAATGATAGAAGGAAAAGCTTTAAAACCAAAGTTTATAATTATGCCGCAATCAGGAGCTGCAGAGATCAGGTCAATTACCGGCAAACAATCACGAAAGTGACTAGAACATGTGTGAAATGTACCACCGGAATGAAATAATTGACTTTTCGTCGTGGATCGGTAGAAATCGGAGGTACAAAGCTCACTGAAGCTTTGCGTGAATGTACGGGCGAGATCGCAGTAGGCTGCGTAGATATGTTAAGAGCTTGTGTAGTCACACGTTGTTCTGCATCCTCCGAATCCTGCGCTAAACTGAGCTCACATCCAGTGCACATTGATCCTACACGTAGACCATAAACACGTGCTATACTCAAATCGCGACATTCTTTTTACTCAAATCACAATACATGTAATATGTTTGGAGGAAAGAAGAAAGGTAAGTCTAGATGTGACTACACTTAATTAACCAGTTCTATTTGAACACACTGGTTCTCGACTAAAAAACCCGTTTACAAATAAAATGCGTTAATTTTAAAACAGTTTTTATGGACTTACCTACGTCAAACAATCTTAGTTACTTCTATTCTCCTCTTTGACATCTCCTACTAACGTGCTTGGCAGGTTTATTGCGCTCTAAAAATAAAGACATATTTTTATTGTAATTAAATGAATAAAATCAATTCCTCTGAAACCGTTAAATTTTGTGAAAATTGCAACAAGATGGTCTAAGTAGCATCATAGTTGTTATCGTGCACTGATTTAGTTGCATATAATAAAAATATTTACGTGTTGACAAATGGTGGAGGCGCCGGGTTAGCACAAAATAAAACGAAATGCAAATGATTGCATGTTTTAACAAAAAAATAACTTTTATTTTATTGTTTGTAGAAAAAATAAACATTCAAACATTAAATTACATTGCGTTTAATGAATTTCAAAATAATAAATAAAAATATACTATAAACATTGGAAAATGATGGAGATACTGGGTTTATACATAAAAAAACCATAGAAATACAAGTTTTACAAAACATTATGCTCCAAGTTTATTAGAAGACATAATAAATTCACTTCTCTACAACTGTTTTGTTGCAGAGTATTTAAGAACAAACATGTATATTCAAATAAATAACATAGTTGTGTACGTTTTATTATTACATATTACGTATTTATTGTAAGAGATTTGTGTTTTGTGTTTTATGTGTAACTATATCTAATTTAACAAAGTTCGTGCTAATTACAATTCATCTATTACCACTTTGGTGTATTATTATTTACACCCTAAGTTATAAAACTTGTTAACATAAAGACTTTATTATACGAAAGCTGCCACATGGGCTTGTATTTTACTAAACACCGGAAGTTCTCAATGTAATGTTTTTGAGTTTTGTTGTTTAGTTTTAAAAATAATTGCATATTTTTATCAAACTTAAAAACCTCGTTTTGCTAAATATGTATTTAGTTTCATGTAAATGAATCATAAAACAGTGAGCGCAAAATGGTGGAGGCGCCGGGCAAACCCAAAATTTCGCTATTTACCGACGTGACGTGCCATCCAAACAAGCTTTTGCAGAAATCTTTTCAATAAATTTTCGGATATAACACAAACGGCAAAATTATGCTGAGCTAGTTCAGATAATTCTATTGGACAAGGCGAGCAAATTCCGTTCATTTTTCGCTGGATTTCAGTTGATAAAGGAAATTTCTTGAATATCAATAGCGTTGAAATACTACAATAGACAATTGGAGACAACTTGAAATTGGCAGGCTAAATATTGATTGTAACATAAACGTAATTATTACACTACTTAACAGTTAAGTTAATTACAAAAATTGAAATCGAATTGCCAAATTAGTATAAAAAAGTATGCAATTATTATCATATTAGGCAAATACCAGAAGAAAAATCTAATAAAGAAAGTTTGTTTGGCAAAAAGTTTAAATTTATTTTATGTGAAATACTTTAATGCGAAAAAACACGGAACACACATTTTTGCGTTTTCATCAGTTATCTTCAATAAGATACATAAATTGCACCGCCTATTATTCACAATATTGGGAGTTGCTAAATTGACATAATAATAGTGATTACATTTCAGTTCTATTCATGCTGATGGAAAATAAATATTGACGTTCCAATTGAACAGAATCCAATTTTGGCTCATGTTTAGATTTTAAATTTTTAAAATAAATATTGTAATTGTAATTTCATACTTATCACAACAAAAAGCAAAAAACACAAGTTAAGATGAATGGTTTAACATAACACAATAGTAAGAAGAAAATGAGGTAATTTATCTACTTTCACAAATAAATCAATTACCAAGTTTAGGTAAAGCCACTTTTAAGTTAAGTAAGTCTGTGTCATCAGGGATTATCTGAAAAATCAAGTTGTATATGTTGGGGCGAAAATAGCCGCTTAATGGACCATTTGAATAATGTTGTAGTTACAGCATTAGGTGTGAAACTGAGCTCTCCCTCTCCAATATGGTAAAACACAGAGCAAACATTGTAAACCAGACTTGATGAAATGTAGTTCTCATTTAAGTTAAAATTTCTAGAATAACTTTAGAAACTCTTTCATTAATCGTGACACAAAAAGTGCCTTAACCGAAAAGGATTTTATAATTAAAAATATTCATTAACACGAAAATTATACAGTAACGCGATCTGTCAAAACACGCAAGCAAACGTAATGGAGGTAATAAACCAGAAAGGATTCGTTGCGAAGAAATTACAAATTCGCTTTATTTGAATGTGTGCTCTGACAGCTCTTAGAATTTTTCAACTTAGACTCATTAAGACACATAAATCCTTGCAGATTCTGTGTAGAAAACACAAAAAGTACATTAAGGCTTTGTGAGGTATTTACTGTTTAAACTGGAATGGCATTTAAATATTGCTCGTTCTCGACACTAATACATGTTCCCAGGAATAGCTTGTAGGAATTTCGGATGCTTTAATAGCACACGTACACCATAGATATTGCGTGAGATACTTCCTAGCTACGCCCCAAGGGCTGACAATGCACACTTTTATTTCGCTCGTTCGACCCTGTCTGAAACTCATCTAAACAACTCAACTTTCTAATCAAAGTTTCTAGAATTGCAATACTAAAATAGTCGTTATTACTAATTAGGAAAAAAATTGCTTTAAATCGTTAGATATTGCCGTTAATTCAATATTTGCATCACACTAAACTCACATTATAAAAGTTTCAGTTGTTTATAATTAAATTTTATATACAAATGTGGTTCAACAAGAGACTTTCCATAAATAAAATTGACAAGAATTGACTTTATTTATAAAGTAGTTTTATTATTACTGGCAAATGCTCAAATTCGCGTATAATTTATAAGAGAAGAACGAGCTGACATCTAAACAAATCAAATTATTAGTATTAATAAAAAAGCGGCTTAGTAAAAAAGAAATTGATGTCAATAAAGCAAAATTTGGTGTTTTGATTGATTCATTTGAATATAAACTGTCACTGTCATTGTATTTATTTTCCCTCAAGTTCACCAGAGCTTTTAACATGCATGAACTATGTACAAAAAAAGCACTTTCAAGTAATTATAAAGGTGTTTGTGTATTTATATTTCAT